TCGGCTTTATGCCGATTTTCGGGACATCGTCTGTTCTTTTCGCCATCAGTTTTAGGCCTTTACATGTCCATCACTTTTAGGCCTTTAGGTATCCGTCACCAATATGACAGATACCTACGTTAAACGGATAACGGGTATCTGAGAACTCTGCAACTTTTGCTTGACGACCGCTCTAGAAAGACGATCTTGTCCGGGTTCTAGAAAGGTGATCTTGTCCGGGTTAAAAACAGGTATGGGTTTTACGTCGCATCCATTAAAAGGTACATATACTCGAAAGCGGTGCGCCCAATATGCAAAGTATGCATTTGCTAAAAAAAAATTTATATCAATTTACAGTAAAATTAAGTTGATAATGTGCCTATATATAAACATAATTTTTTATTCATAATAATGTAAAAAATGTACATGAAAAAAAGTCAGTTACGCAAAACACTATATATTTAAAACACTATATATCTACATATATTTTCCAATATACAAAAAAAATGTTTATAAAATTGAAATTTTACATACATTTGATTACTCTACGCACTACTCTAACATTTTTATTTATTATATAAATACACTAAACACTTTTTTGAATGATATGAATCATCAGAATTACAATTATTAATTATTCCTTTTAAATTATATTTTCAACCTGACACTACAGTTACTTCCCATATCTTGAGTTAACTTACGCTATGAGAAAAAAAGGCTGTTCACTTAAAAATATTTGACTTCACTTAAAAATAATTGCTTTCAGTACCATATAAAATGTTGAAGGTGAAGGTTGTGTTTGTTCTTTTTCCGCTTTTCTGTATGTATTTTAAGAATATTAAAATAATTATAAATGAAAATATTAATATATTTAATTGATTTTTTACATATATTTTTAGAACTTTACCTACATATAATAAGTGTGAATTTATTTTAATACTTCTTCTCAAAAAACAGCCACTTCGATTTAAAAAACCCATATAAAATAAGGTCGTGCTTTCAAGTTTCTCCCTTAGTATTGGGACTTGTTAGATATAAAGAAATTACTCCAAAATTAAAATAACCTGAGCGACTTTTTGAAATTTCAAGAACAAAGTTTATCATAAGCTCATGTAGGTAAAAAATATAATATAATGAAAAATATTAAAAACTTATACATAACCCGCTTAGTTTTTTAACCATAAATTTTATGTATTATTATGTATAAAATACTTCCAAAAATCGCACTATTACCTCCAAGTGGTGGTCTCGCGGCGAATCCCTTGCAAGATGGAACACCATATGCTGATGACTGCGTGGCTAAGGGGGGCTTAGTCGTTAATATGCGAACTCTGGATACGAGGCGCCATCCAGTTTAAATTAGCCTTCCCATGGTATGCCGGGCTCTGCCATGGTTGACCGTATTTCTCGAGCTACTCGTGGGACCACAATGAACAAAGAAACAAAAAGCAACAACAACGATAACAGTTGCGACCACGACAATAACTTCAGCAAGGACAAAAGAGAGAACAAAAACAACAAGGACAAGAGCGAGGTGGCCGGTACTGCCATGATCGATGCTCCAGGGTCTTCGGAACCAGAGCTTCTTACACCGGTGGAAGATGGAACAGCGGCTCCAGCGGAAACGGGTAAGCAGGATCCTATGGGACCTTTTATTCAGCAAGCCGAAGAGGAAATGAAAAGATTGAAGATCAGTGGAAAGAAACATCATTTCTCTGGTGTCTCCAAAAGACTTATCGCGGCGTACATCAGGGAAGGTATGTCTCCAGAAGAAACCCGCGAACACAAAAAAAAAGGCTGAAAAGCTCAGGGCCTGCGAAACGGTTGCACCAATCAACCATCCCCAGAAGAGGGAAAGGTCAGAGAGTAACACTCCTGACGCAGGACCTTCAAAGAGAGCAATGCTGAGAAAGAGGTCCCTGGGAACATTTATCAACAGAGCCCAAAAAAGACCTCTTACCGGGATGCACTGGGGCAAATCAAAGTAGCTATTGCGCATGGTTTGCACCCCAATGAGAGGCTATCCGACGTCCAGATGGGGAAAATAAAAGTAGCTATCATGGACGAAATGGACAAGGTTCGCATCTCCAGTTTACTGCGGCGTGGCAAAGGGACTGATGAATATCCGTCACATGCAGCAACAGGGACACCAGGGATTGGATTACCAGTATCTGCAGCAGATTACACCTTGGGACGGCTGTAACATAGCTGTGCTAACAACGTTTCCAGACAGCATATCTGTGTTACCTATGTCCCAAAGGACGAAACAACCGAGCTCTTGGAGGGTGCTCCGTATGGATAGAGAAAAGAACGAGGAGTGCTCCATCATCTTCTCCGTAGACGACTCCGGTTTGGAGGATCTACGGAAAGCGAAGCTCCGTCTTTTTCTTATCTTCTTCCGAATAACGGTCAGTGTGAAAGCGAGAAAGTCACTACAGTGCCTGGCACAGAAATAACGAGCTGTTCAGGGGAACCTGAAACGGCTCCAAAGGCGGCAGCTGGCGCAGAAAGAGCCTCCACCTCAAAGGAGAGTGCCGGGCCGAAAAAGGAAAAACTCGCTGACGCGCTAGTCAAGAAAGCCAAAAGGAGAAGCGGGTCCCATGTGGAGCCTTTGTCTAAAGGGCTAAAGCCCATAGACAGGAGCCGAAAGAAATGATATGGCTGTGAGGTGCATCCCAATAAATCTACAGCAAGCCAGGCCACCTACGGATGTTCTGGCTCATAGATTTGTGAAGGATCACCTAAACGTCGTCCTTATCCAAGAGCCTTTCATAGTGAAGGGGCTAACGGGTGAGATATTGTATGATCATTCCACGCAGGCAGACAGGCGAGCCTAGCCCGCACAGCGAAGGAAGGCAGACCACAGAAAATCATCAGTTGCACAAAGTTATCCCCAGATTTCCTCCGCGCCAATCCATCGGCAACCTCGTTGCCCGCATATCCACTGTGGGCTGCACCAAAATAAGTGTCACTCCGTTTACCGATGCCAATTCCACAAGTGCAGTAAGGCAGCTCCAGACAAGCCTGGATGTAAGGCCGACTGAAGCGCCAACAATGCCGCCCTGATGTCTGAGAACAAATAAATGGTAAGATTCCTATACCCCCTTTCTAAACTGACTCTCAGACACATTCCCTTTGAATGTATTTCGGCCTGAAACACTGCAATATGGGTCCATTCTCACATATGTATATACGCGCGTCCAGGCGGACACCGCACACACCCAGACCCACACCAGACTCCGTTTAGGCTCCGTCCGCATATCACACGCTTGAATCCGACTCAAGTATCGGGCCGCCCCGCTCCCATAGATAGTCATCGGGAGGGCTGCTGTAGCCCTATCTATGACTATCTATGTCGGTATTCCAGGAGAGACGATCGTCTAGGGTTACCCCCAAGTACCTCACCTCCCTAAAGTAACCAATACGTTCACCAAAGAGAATTGGGCTCGTTAATTTATCCCTGCAGAACGTCTGGTGAAGGCAACCAAAGTGCTTTTGCAGGGATTTACATTAATTATCTGCACCACCCTTCCACAGCACGTAAATTTTGCTGCAGAAGGTCTGAAATAGTGCCCTCAAATGTACCACGTATGACGAAAGCCACATCGTCGGGGTAGCCTCAGACATGCGGCCCAGAGCCCCTGAGCGCAGCAATTAGATCATCCACCACGATGGATCCACCCCTTTGCAGCGGAAATGAAAAAAGTGTCGTCAGCTATGGTGGACCTAATGATCCTATCCCGTAACATCCGACCAATCCACCCCTGTCAACATGGGCAGGGATGAGAAGGGACGGGTTCACGCTATTGCGAATTTTTTCACAGGCCATTGCCCGGTTAGATATCACCTGCATAGTACACGTGCTCTGCGCTTATTTTGGACAAGGTTTCTTAAGTGTTCGAGAACTGCTGTCTAACTCCCTTAGGGATATCTCCGGTTTCATACTTGGAACGGGGTATTGTAGGAGGGACGTGGAGAGGCTACAATAAGTCGCGAATGGCTGCGGTGGCCCGGGGGATACTCCTGCCCCACTCGGTTCCCTTGAAAAATCTACAATCTACAATGTATAAAATACAAAATTTCACTTGTAAGTTTAAAATTACGAATAAAACTTACAATGATTTATTTTTCTTTTAAAAATATAAAATTTCGAAATGTACAATCATTTAAGTACATCAGTAAATAAATTTTTACTTTTCTTATTTTAAAATAAGCTTTGAAAAAGTTCGTTTATTGATATTGTTTTTTTTAGAACCGTTTATAGTTTAGTTTCACTTTTACCAAAAAGTGAGTTTTTGGTTGTGAAAACCAAAAAATTAAGTTTAAATGATTGAAATAAATCTGATCATAGCTATTTAAAATATATTTAATTAAATGAATTTGTTGTTGAATTTATAAAACAAAAAACTAAGTTTAGTGTCAGACTTTAATTGGAAGTTTAGTTTCAGATTTTGATCGGCGCCCCAAGCGGACTGGAAACTGCTTTGGGCGCCGAATAAATTAGAATGGAGCCTACATATACTCCTAAAAAGGAGCTCCAATGCCTTTTATTCTGGAGAGGCATTAGCGATAGTATTCTGATTAGAGTCCTAGCAAATTCTGACATTTATATTTTTTAGCCTCCAAACAACTCTACAACCGTTTTTCAGAAAAAAAATCAAAACGGCAAAAGGTATCTTTTAGGTATTTTCTTTTGCCAAAATTAAAACAGGATTTTTTCCTATCAATTCCGTTCACCCTTTTTTGAGAAAGTGCCCACTTAATGGAGCTGGAATATATTGACTATTCAAAATAATTTAATATTAGTAAAATACATTGAAGTATATTTTGAGAATACACATACATATATGTAGTATTCACATATGTATTTATATAATTTTTGTTTTAATTGATAAATTAATTTTGTCCGTTCCAAAAATAAGTTGAGAATAGGTGTGTGTAGATACGTGCAATTTGAACAATTGTAGTACAACCACACATTACTAGTTGCAATTAGAAATTAAACATTATTTTTTTTTTAGGGGGAGTTTCATTACCCAGATCCAGATTATTGGTCGAACCGAGAATTGGGGATTCCTGATGACAAGTAGTAAACACAGTTAAAACTTATTTGGTAAAGAGTTCCACTTATAGTGGAATCGTTAAAATTTTTCAATGTAGTAAAAAATTGAAAATAAATTGCAATATCAAAAGTTTGTAATAATTTATTTCTAAACTTATTTGGTGGCCTACTACGTAGTGCTATTTCGCTAAACGATTTCCGCATTTTAAATTTCGACGCTATGTAAATCGAATATATTTAATAGTTATAAGTATTAATTACAAAACTTCAGTTAAATGCAACACTTACATTAACACTTACATTTTTTAGTTTTATTTTTTCAAAAACTTAGACTTCTACAATAAGATTTGTAAAGAAAATGGCAAGTGAATGAAAAGTATGCGAAAGTAACATTCTGTAGTACGCATATTTGCGACGTTCGATTTGCATAGGGTCAAAATTTAACATGCAAGAATTGTTTAGCGAAAGTCTACATAGTAGGCCACCTGCATAAGTCTTTTGCTATCCATATTTTCTTACAAATTTAACAATAAACGTCTCCTTAATATTATACATACAATTAAATGTATAACTATTTTAAAATAATTCAAATATTTACTTTGAGAAAACCGTCAGAAATGTCAAAAACAAAAGATTTTAGAAAATGCTGCCAGTTTAAATTTTTTACGATGCTACGATGCACACTGCTACAACAGAATTGCAAACATTTCGTATGATAGTCACTTAATGCTCTTAGCTATAACAGAAAATCAAGATTCCGCACTGAAAATCCGATTTAAATAACTATAATTCTAGTAAATTGAAAATTTTATAATAGAAAAAAAGGTAATTAATAAAAAATAACTAATAAATAAAATATGTTGATGTTCCAAAAAACAGATAAAACTGGAAAATAGTACTTATTAAGAAAAGCGAATACAAAAGAAGCAAAGATGTTTCCTGAAATAAAAAAAGTATTACGCGAACCAAATGTAAATAGGATTAGGATCCAGCACATCGAGGTTATCAAATAGCAATAAGAATAAATACCAAATCACGCAAACACATTGTCATAATAACAGATTCACAAGATATACGTAAGTATGTATTGCATTCTGTTATTTTTTAGAAAAGACCCACGAGATAAATGTACCACAAAATAACAATTACCAACAAGAGATTCAGGAAAAGGCTAGTATTTTTCAACTAGAAAAGGCTAGTTGAATTTAACAATGAAAGTAGGACCTCAAATCCAACATAAGAAAATTAACATTTCACGAATTTCTACGAACAAAACTTAAAATTTTTAAATATAAGTAAGGTTTACGAAATAATAATTAACTACAAAATTAACAATATTTCAAAAAATAAGTATGTAGTTCTTGAAAATCAACACAACGCAGAATCTACAACGCAATGTCTAATAAAAGATTATATATACGTAGCTAACTTCCAGAATATAAAAAAAAAGATTGTAGAACAACAGTTTGTTTTGTGTATTAAGCTCGGAATGTCTTCCAAGAAGCCAATACATGTTTCTCAATTTGATGTTCAGCTTAGTTTTCTTTTTAGGACTTTTCCAAAAAAATTTTTGAAAAAAGTGCTTATTAGTTTCACTCTGTCCGTCCGTCCGTCCGTCCGTCCGTCCGTCCGTCCGTCCGTCCGTCCGTCTGTCCGTGTGTCTGTTTACAAAACTTCTACACCCTTGAAGATAGAAAGCTAAAATTTTATATATGCATAGATCTTTACTAGAAACTTATTTTCGTAGAACAAAATTTTTACCTATCTCCCCCCCTCTAGAAGTTATACCCCCCCAAAACCCTAAAAATGGCCTTTTTTAAATATTTGTTGCAATGAAACCATAAGCATTTTTGAAATTTTGCAAACGCAGAAAGGCAGTGGCTTGCTTCCCCTAGCGTGATATACTATAGTTAAACTTTAGAAAAACAAAATGGCCGTTCAAATTTACCGTTATCTAAAGTCCTTTTTTTCCAAATTTTTGATGTCGGTTTTCTAGATCCTATATTCTAGAACTTTGAAATTTTAGGGCTTTTAGACATTAACAAATAGTTCATTTCGTTAGAAGAAATTTTTTTTCCATCTCCACCCCCTCTCAAGTTATCACCTCTTGAAATTTGTAAAATTTGAATTTTTGACACCTTATATTTCCGAAACCGCAAGCCTTTCCAAATTTTTATAAACTCAAAAAGCTAACGGTAAATTCCATGACACTAAAAAATATAATTATTTTTCTTAACTCACACAATTAACCCTTAAAATCGAGCATTATGTTAACCCCTTTTTATGTTAATTTTTGCTTTATTTCAAAGACTGCATATATGCGTCATCCTAAATATATGCAATCCTAGAAATAGTTTTGTATATGAATGAAAATAATTTTTATAGTGTGATAGGTATACATAGACTGTATTTAAAAGCAGAATTTTCACTTGTTAAAGGGAAAAGTGCTACAATACAAACCATTGGTTTGACCCAACTTTATTTTTTAACAATTTGATGTTCAGTTTAGTTTTCTTTTTTTTAACATGCTCTTTTCATTTTAATTTAGCATCCAATATCATACGAAGGTATTTAATTTCGTTGGCGTACGGAATTGTTGCTCCATAAGTAAGATACAAAAAGTATCGCCTCTTCAGTTGGTCTAGTTTACATGCACTGATCTAGCTTCGTTGAGTTTGAAATTCTATTTTTTTATCTGAGTAGACACTTCGTTCAATGAGACTTGCAATTTATTCGTAACTTCTTCAACAGTTTGACAGGTCGCTAATATTGCCATATCGTCTGCAAAAGTTGCTAAGAAAGTTTCGTCACTTTGCGGGATATCTCTGGTGTAAAGCAAGTACAAAAGAGGTCCCAGTACACTTCCATGAGCTGGTGTGCCTCAAATTTTTAAAGATGGTACTCCTCCTCAAATTTTACCCTGAACATTCTTGCAGAAAGGTAGGACTTCAATATTTTTGGAAATGGCTCTGGCAGACACTCTTTTATTTTGAAATTGAAGCCCCTGTGCCAAACCCTGTCGAACACCTGGGCCACGTCCAAAAAGACGATTGGAGAGTGGTCAGAGTTTAAGTCTTAACTTTCGATTATATATGTATAATTGTCTGAAATTTTTTCAATAGGTCTCGAATTCTGTTTTTATATGTTGGCCAATAAATTGGCTTTCTGCTTAAGTTAAAATTACAGCCGTCAATAAGAAATCACTAATTTCTTATTTTTAAGGTTGTCTTTGATCGAAGCAATTTGCATTTTTTGTTTTTTAACACTAAACTATTCTTGATGCTTAATATTACTTTTAATAAAGATTGAAGAGCCGCCTTAAGCTTTATTATCAGGATGTATTACCCCGTAGCACTTATAACCACTTATTTTTAAGTTATTTTCTTTGGTAAAATTTGTTTATGTAACTAAGAAAGCGTCAATTTTTTCTCTGTTAAGAAAGATTTCAAGATCCTGAATATGTTGCAGAAGATCATCAGCTTTTCATGTTATAATTCTAAGAGTTTGTGACATCTTTTATTCAGTCTTGAGTTTATTTTACTTTCTAGTCTGGCCAATCTATAATTGAATTGTTTTCCAGCAATTTTTTGATCGTCAAGTTTTTTTAGTATAAGCTCTAGAATCTCATCTGCTGTAGGTTTTGCAGCGTAGGTCTTTTTCGTCAATTTTGCTGTTGGAACTGCCTTCTTCTCAATTATTTTGGATGTCAAAGGCGGCCCTACACTTTTTTCTTGACCCTGAGTCACTAATAGAACCCTTGCTCCTACGTTCCCTCCCAACATAGCATCCCCTATAATTGTTTCGACGTTTATTGCAAGCAGAAGTGAAATGATTTGACCCACATTTTACGCATCTAGGATCTTTATTATAGTATGACTTGGTATGGGAATTCCTGGTATCTTGTACACTGTATAGCTTTTGTTTTTTTTCTTACTGGTTCAATTTTGACTCTTAGAAATAGAATAGATTTGATGTTATATAATTTTTCAGTGCTTTTATTCTTATCAAATGTTGGCATAAACAAGGATAATTTTTCATTGTGGACGACGATGTCTCCTCTATCATTTAATGACCTTTCTTTTTTTATTGTATTGGTGGCATCTTTTATTTCGAAGTCTTGCTGTAGGAGATCGTTGATGATGTCAGCTTTTTGGTTTTGATGTCAGCCTACTACGTAGTGCCACTTACGTTAAACGATTCACGCACTTTAAATTTTAACACTATGTAAATCGAATATCGCGAATTTTCGTATGTGAAAGTAACAAAAGTTGTACTACTTTCGCATACTTTTCATTCACTTGCCATTTTGTATACGAATATTATTGCGAAAATCTAAGTTTTTGAAAAAATAAAAATAAACAATGGAAGTGTTATTTTTATTTTGCTTTATAAAATTAAAAAAACTTACATTTCAAATTTACTGCAATCAACTAACTTTTTGTAATTAATAGTTATAGGTCACTTAATATCAAAAAAATTAAACTTAAATCTTAACATTTAAATCTTAACCTGCATAAAAATCTTTTGCATATTTCTTTAAAAAATTAACAAGCGCCTCCTTAATATTATACATACATTAAAATGTATGACTTTTTTGAATTATTTTCAAGTGCTTACTTTAAAAAAACTCTCAGAAATGTCAAAAACAAAAAAATTTTACAAAATTCTGCCAGCTTAAATTTTTAACGATGCGGTTTTGTTACATAGTACCAAACCACTTGCGAATTGCAAATCAACTTACGCAAATTTACGACTTTCGTATTTTTACATAGTAGACCACCTGCATTTTCATCCTTCATTTCGTTGATGTTTTACCTCATAATAGCAATTATTTCTTCCATTGACATTATTTTCTGTCGAAGTTTTTCATTTTCCTCTTCTAGAGTTCTAGACTTTTCTGAATAGCCAGGATCCAAGTTGGATGTTGAAGAACTAATTGTGTTAATCCTCTTTTCAGCCTCGTGTGTGGTGTTTCTGGCTGATTCCGATAAACGTTTGTAACTTGCAGAGGATGTATCGTTCGATAATATTTTAGGCAGAGTTCTCGGTGTTAATTTACTCCTACAGAAAAGCAATGCTTGAGTGGATCAATGAATAGAATGGATTTTCAAGATTAACTGGTCTGCCACA